AACGATAATTTTTATAAAGTGAGCCCTTTTGTTATATCAAAGACATTATATGGAATTGTTGGTGAAGTAAAGTTAGTGAGAAAGGTTCGAGAAGGTCTCCTTGTTGAAACTAAATCTACACAGCAGACTATGCGACTATTCCCGATAAAAAGGTTTGGAGAATTTGATGTGAGTATGGAGGCACACCAGTCCCTCAATACCCGAAAAGGCGTGTTTTTTTGCAGAGACTTGCTCAACTGCTCGATTGAGGAGATATTGGATGAACTGAAAGGTGATGGTGTCATACATGTAAGAAGGCTAAAGAGTAAAGGAATTGAGAACTGGTTGAAACTCCAAATCACGTGCTGATATTTAGGAAAACTGTCTTACCAAAGGAAATCCGCGTTGCGTTCCTTAAGTTAAATGTAAGGCCTTATATTCCACCACCTACCAGGTGTTTCAACTGTCAAGCTTTAGGTCACACAGCTGGAAACTGTCAGAAGGAAAAAATATGTCCATGTGGTAATCCTCCACACGAAGGTCCTTGCCCGGAACCCAAAAAATGCGTAAATTGCGAAGGTCCACATTCAGCAGCTTATATGAATTGTCCAAAACTAAAAGCTGAAGCAGCAATACAGAAAGTAAAGGTAATGGAAAACATAAATATGCAGAAGCAAAAAGAAAAGTAAATATAACACACTCCAAAACCTACTACGTCCTATTCTGCTGCCGTCCAAAAGTCATCAGAAATGAACATTCAGCAGATCATATCAACAATAATTCCTCATATCGAAACTGCAGTTAGAAACGCAATCTCATGTTCTACATCTAAGTGCGACCATTTTAAAGCCCCATCATCAGGGCTAATCTTCCGTAGAGATAGATCTGAAAAAACTATTTATTTTATTTATTATGTACCGTCCATCCCTACATACTATTTATTTTATTTATTTGTTGTGAAAGTATTTTATTTAGATACATTTAAACTCTTAAAATCGCAATGGAATCAATCATACAGTGGAACTGCAATGGAATTGTCCAACGGTACTGTGAGCTTAGGCTGATTTTACAGAATCATGATCCAATGTGCTTATGTATTCAAGAGAGCCATCTCAGACCAAATCAAACTTACTCTCTTAGAAAATATAACATCTTGAGAAAAGATGTCACAGCTATCGAGCGAGCACATGGAGGAGTTGCGATAATTTTACGTGAGGATGTCTGTTTTGAGCCTTTATGTGTAAACTCAGCACTACAAGTTGTTGCAGCTCGAATAACAGTTCTTAAAGGTAACTGTCTGTAATATATGTATACCTACCTGATGGAAATTGGCGAATTGGTGACATCGAAAACGTTATATCTCAGCTCCCAGCACCATTCTTGTTCATTGGAGATTTCAATGCGCATAATCTCCTGTGGGGATCAGGACGTTTAGATCACCGAGGAGAATTGATAGGAAACTTACTAGACAGAGAAGATCTGATGTTGCTAAATACAGGAATGTCCACCCATCTGGCTGCTCGTTCCAGATCTTTCTCTGCGATTGATCTAGCGATCAGTTCAACATCCATAGCCGATCGCCTCCAATGGAGAGCTCTAGATGACATGTATCATAGTGATCATTTTCCTTGTATCACGTCCTTTGACATATCTAGAAGTAGTCCCCAAGTGCCACAATACTGGTTGATGTCAAAGGCAAATTGACAGCAATTCGAAGACTACTTATCAATTGTGAGTCCTGTACAAGATAATAACATTGGTATTCATAGTTTTACTCAGCTGATACATCAGGCTGCGGTGAACAGCATTCCGCTTGGTGGTGGATCTCCAAGAGGCCGTCGGTTACCATGGTGTAACTCTGACATATCCGATGCCGTGAGATCAAAAAAGCGTGCACTTAATATTTTTAAGAGGAACTGCACGGTATCAAACATGATATCTTTTAAGAAAGCTAGAGCTAAAGCGCGACTCTTATTCTAGAAAGCCAGAGAAAATCATGGAAAGAATATGTCTCCACTATTACTACTGAAACGACAGCAATGAAGTATGGAATAAAGTCAGAGCCGTGTATGGTAGACAATCAGTTAGGCAAATCACACATCTGCAGACCTGTAACAGCAACATCATTAATAGCACAAATGAGGTGTGTAATTTACTAGCAGATACATTTGCTACCGTCAGCAGCTCGGAAAACTATAGTCGCGAGTTCAGGTCCACCAAAAATGCAACGGAAATACCACTAGACTTTTCAACAGACGTATCTTTAGCGTATAATGAGCCATTCCAACTGTTTGAGCTAGAAGAAGCCTTAAAAAAGACAAATCGATCAGCTCCTGATCCGGATATGGTAAATTATGAGATGATCCGTCATCTTCCTCTCCATGTCAAGCTTACTCTCCTCAACATATACAACAGGATATGTCTTGCAGGAATATACCCAAAAGACTGGAAACTTGCAATCGTCATTCCCATTCTTAAACACGGAAAGGATCCACTCTTGCCTGAAAGTTACAGGCCCATAAGTCTTACTTGCTGTCTCGGAAAAATATTAGAGAGAATGGTAAATGAGCGCCTGTCGTGGTTTCTTGAAAAAAATGGCTTACTTGTTGATTACCAGGCAGGATTTAGAAAAAATATGTCTACAGTGGATCAACTTGTCTATGTAGAGAATGTCATCCAAAATGGGTTTAAAAACCGTCACCATACAGTAGCTATGTGTTTAGACATAGAAAAAGCTTTTGATTTGGTCTTGAGATATGTTCTATACCAACTGCACAATTGGGGCTTTAGAGGAAATCTCCCAAAATTTTTGAAATCCTTCCTTACAGACAGGCGTTTGCAAGTACGTGTAGGAAACACTCTTGCAACAGTCCACACCTTGGAAAATGGAATACCACAGGGATCGACACTTAGCTGTACGCTTTTGCGATTGCTATTAATAAACTTGCCGAGTCCATAAATCCGGTGGTGGACAGATGTCTATACGTCGATGATTTGTGTATACTATCATCAGGCCCTTCCATTGAAGAAATTTCTGGTAGCTTGCAGACAGCAATAAACCAAATAAGCCAAAATGCGATAAACAGTGGTTTCACATTGTCAAATACCAAAACAAAGTGCGTACATTTCTGCAGACTCCAACGTCAGCATGATGGGCCACTACTTTATCTACAAGGCCAATTAATCCCAAACCTAGGACTACGGTGCTGCCTTGGAGCATTCCGTACAACGAGAGCAGCTAGCCTTTGCGCTGAAGCAGCCGTCGAGCCATTAACTCTAAGGAGAAAAAGACTCGTACTCTCATACGAAGTCAGTACATCTGCTACGCCACACCATCGGAATTTCTCTCTGTTAAGTATGTATGATGAAACCTATAATAGAAGGCCTACTATCACAAGACCCCTCAGTGTGAGAATTTGTGAAATATCTCGAGAGCTAAATTTGACTAAAATGCCAGTTTATCCAGTCAAAAATGAAACCCCATCTTGGCAGATCCCATCTGCAAAAGTTAAAATTTCACAAAAAGGAAACACCAACAGTACAACTTACTGAGGTCTCATTTTCAAGGTATCCTGGAACAGTACACATGTGCCGAAACCATCTACACAGACGGTTCGAAAACTGCCTCAGGAGTTGGTTGCTCGATTATCATAAACGGGGTGGCCCATTTATGGACTCTCCCAGCAATGACATCGATCTTCACAGCCGAACAGTATGCAATTCTACAGGCGCTTAAATACTGCCAGATAGAGTCGAAAAGCAACCTTACTCTTATAGTCAGTGATTCTTTGAGCACCCTACATGCTATGTCAAATCGTTATTCCCGTGATCCATTAATCTTAGCATGTCTTCAGACATTAAAGGTGTTGATGGATGGCGACTAGAGGGTAGTCTTTATATGGGTACGAGGACCCGTAGGTATACTAGGAAATGAACTGGCAGATCAATCTGCAAGGCAGGCTGCTGCCGCAACTGAAATAGACTGTACAATAGTGATAGCACCAGACATGAAAATGAAAATTAGACAATGTATAACAGAAGCATGGCAAAGACAGTGGAACAATGAACCTACTCAGCTAAGAACAATAAAACCTGATGTAACAAAATGGACACCTAACGTCAAGATCAGTAGAGAAGAAGCCGTCCGGATACATAGACTGCGTTTGGGCCACACAGCATTGACACATTCCTACTTACTCTCGGGCCAAGGTCATCCAAATTGTCCGTCATGCGAGGCACGATTAACTGCAATGCATATTATGATAGAATGTCCAGCATTAAGCAACCTTAGAGTTTTGGTCTGTCAAGAGATTTCGCAGAAAATCTGAAAAAGCCTGATCTAAAAAAAGCACGATATCGTTTCTGAAATGCACGGGCTTTTACTGGAAACTCTAATTACACTCAACCAAAACTGAATCACATAATGACACGCAACTAATGACCCAGTAGTCGATGCTGCATAATCGCAAGAACTACTACTATTATTATTATTATTATTATTCTAATTATTATTATCATTATTATATTATTATTATTAATATTAATATTATTATTATTATAATTATTACTACTTATTATTATTATTGTTATCAATATTTTATTATTATTTTATATAATTATTATAATTATTATTATTATTAATATTATATTATTAATTATTATCATTATTATTATTATTATTATAAATATTATTATTATTATTATTATTATAATTATTATTATTATTGTTATTATTATTATTATTTTTTTTATAGCCGTAGGGCTTTGTTACTCCCATTAATCGGGGTGTTCTGGCTTAACCCGGACGTTTCAAGCATCAAAGGGGTAAGCCTCAGTAGTGACCTCACTAGGTACTTGCATTTCCCATAAATTTTCTTACTATGCGGGCAGTTGCCAGCAAAACTCCTTTCTGTATGATTTTGTGAATGTTTTCACTCAGTTCCAGTGCTTTGATGTTTTCTAGCAGGCTTCTTGGTATCACCCCTGTAGATGACATTATTATTGGTATTGTTTCCACGTACTTCATTTTCCACTGGCGTTTAATTTGAAATTCTAGCTCCCTGTATTTTGCAACTTTCTCATTATTTTTGTATGTTAAATTGTTACTATTAGGTATGGCCACATCAATCAGTGTTACTTTCTGGGCGCCCTTGTCGACAATGATTATGTCAGGTCTGTTTTGTTTTATGTATTGATCCGTAAGCACAGTGCGATCCCAGTATAGTTTATACTTGTCGTTCTCGAGGACACATTGCGGTGTATATTTGTAGTACTGTAGCTTACATTCGGTCAGTTTTAATTTGTATGCCAACTCCTGGTGAATGATTTTGGCAGCTATGTCGTGGCGCTCCTTATAGTCCGTTGGAGCGAATGCTTGGCATCCACCAGTTACGTGTGTTTCGGAGTCCTGACAGCCGTACCTGCATTTATCAGACTGTTGCAAGTTCTTAAGTATGAACCTCTTGTAATTGTTGGTAGGGATGACCTGGTCCTGTATAGCTACAAGGAATCCCTCAGTCTCAGGGAACATTTGGCCTGAGGTAAGCCAATAGTTTGACGCTTTCTTGTCAACGTTTTCTTGGCTAATCTCGTTTGCATGTCTCCCATGTAGAGGTTTTTCAATCCATCGTTGTAGCTTCTGTTATAATATTATAATTATTATTGTTATTGTTATAATACTTTATTATTATAATTATTATTATTCTGTATTTCACTCCTAGAGGAAGGGATGAGCTTGACCGGAACTCTGCCTGAGTTCTAAGGTCTTTAGTCGGAAAGGGTTTTCCGCAAAATGTGGGCTGTTCCTAGCAGTGCTATCTTTTGAACTTGTGTTGCAAAGACATCTCCGGGGAGTTCTTTTATGTTGTTCTTGAATGACATAGTGGCAGTCCCCAAAGCTCCGATGATCACGGGTACCGTTCTTGTCTTTGTCTTCCACATGCGCGATATTTCGATTTCGAGGTCTTTGTATTTTCTGGCCTTTTCCGCTTCTTTGGTGTTGACGTTGTTGTCGTCTGGTACAGATACCTCAATTAGCAGACATGTGTTCTGTGTTTTATGATGGTAAATAATATCAGGTCGGTTGGCGGAAATCGTACGGTCGGTAATGACTCCTTTGTCGTACATAATTAATGCTTCGTCTGCCTCTACTGCTGCTTCAGGAGAATGATCATACCAGTTGTTGCTAACTGGTACTTGGTGCTGCTTGAGGATAGCCCAGTGTATGTATTTAGCGACGTTGTTGTGCCTTTCGGTGTATTCTGTTGGTGCCAGTGTTGAGCAGCCTGAAATAATGTGGCTTATATGTTCCTCACATTGATGGCATATTCTGCATTTGCTGTCGACATTCTGTTTCAGGACCATTCTTCTATGGTAGCGCGTGTTAAGTGCCTGGTCCTGTGCAGCAATCAGTAGACTTTCAGTCTCCGCCTTCAGTCCTGTACTTTTCATCAAGTTCGTGCTATTGCATGAGCAACAAAAGGCTAAATACTCCATTACAAAGATCGGGGAAGCCATGAAAAGACAATATGCATACAAATTGAACGAAGATCAGTCAGCGGACAACTTGAAACTCAGAGTAAAGGAGGCCATGCGAACAGAAAAAGTCAACGCCCTAAAATCGAAACCACTCCATGGACAGTTCTACAATAACCTACACAAAACCAATGTAGATAAACACATGTCCCTGGATTGGATGAAAAGTAAAATTATTATTATAATTATTATTATTATTATTATTATTATTATTATTATTATTATTATTATTATTATTATTATTATTATTATTATTATTATTATTATTTGTTTATTTTCCACATTCCTATCTATTCAACTGGTTCTGTCCATGTGGGCCGGTTTTGGTTGGTCATTTCATTATGGTACTTCGAAGATGTTACCCACATCCTAACGAAGTCCATTACCTTATAGTGTCTTACGTAATATGGTTGCTGTACCATAAAAAGCAATCTCCTGCACGTCTGCTGCCCTGTGCCTTCCTGGTATGAGATTTAGGTTTTCATGTAGATTGTCTGGGATCGTCCCTAAAGCACCTAAAATTACGGGAACTATCTTCGTCCTCAGATTCCACATCCTTTGGATTTCAATTGAGAGATCTTTGTATTTCAATTTCTTTTCAGCTTCTTTGTTTACAACGTTTTCATCGTTGGGGACTGAAACATCTATTAACAGGCAGGTTTTGTCACGTTGGTTTTTGACGATTATGTCTGGACGGCTCGCGGATATCTCACGATCTGTTTGCACTGGTAAGGCATATATTACGGTAATCTCATCTTTACTAACTACTGGAGTGGGGTTGTGATTATACCATTTTTGTCTTGTACGTAAGGCCTGGTCTTGGGCGGCCGTTATCAGGGCCTTTTACCTTCCCTCTCGTGAGCCACGCAAACGTTTGGCATTCATTAATCCCTGGCCTCTTAATTCTCTTCACGTATTGACCATGAAGCTGCTTTCGTATCCATTTATCCTTCAAGGTCTTCCTTGTCATGGACTTAATATCTGTAGACAGTAATTCTTCTTCATCCTCGACCGCTTGATTTTCTATTTCCGGTAAATTTATTAATGGTAATAATTATTATTATTATATTATAATAATAATTATTATTATTATTATAATAATAATTATTATATTATTATTAATATTATTATATATATTATTATTATATTATTATTATTATTATTATTATTATATTATTACTTATATTATTCTTATTATTATATAATTATTATTATACTTTTATTATTATTATTAAATCATTTTATTATTATAATTATTTTTTTATTATAATTAATTATTATTATTATTTTACTATTATTATTTTATTATATTATTGTTATCAATATTATTATATAATTTAATAATTATTATTATTATTATTATTATAATTTATTATTATTATTCATCTTTTTTTTTTCACGCTACAGGACCGTTTTCTATTAGTATTATCTTATATGGAATGGTTTGACCTCTGCACCGGGTCCTCGCCGAGGACCTGAGGGGTACAGATCTTTGTATTTATGAGCTGGTTATGTTATAACTTTCCTAATTATGTGCGATGTGCCTAATAACTGATAGAAATTATGATCTCCTGGTATCCTTTTTAGGTTATCTAGGATGTTGCGAGTGACATATCCAGTTGAACCAATCACTACGGGAATAACAACTGCCTTTGTATGCCACATTCTTTGCACTTCTATGAGTAATGATTTGTATTTTAGTTGCTTTTCAGCCTCCTTTTGTATGACATGTCTATCTGCAGGTATCGATATATCAATTATATAGCATATTTCGGTGGTTTTTATAACAATATCTGGTCTGTTTGCTTTTATTTCTCTATCCGTGATAACGGGATGGTCATACATTATTGTGATACTACCATCTTCACTTCGTGTTATTCTGTCGGGGTGATGCTCATACCATTTCGTCGATTTTATTGGACAACCAAGGTGGCGAGACACTTCTAGATGGATGGCTGCGCAGACATATTGTGCCTGTCAGTATTCTTTTGGCGCTAGTATTGGACATGCAGATATTATATGTTCAACAGTTTTCATTATGAATGTGACACAATCTGCATTTACCGTCATTCCTCGTCTTGTGTATTGCTTGCTCAATGTAACGCGTTTTCAAGGCTTGATCTTGTGCTGCCACCAGCAAGCTTTCGTTTCCCCTTTTAAATCTCCGTACTGTAACCATCCAGATGACAGTCTTAAGTCAACCGGAAGCTCCTCCATTTGACGGATATGCTGTCCGTGTAGAGGCTTACTCCGCCATTTCTCTTCGACACATTGCTTCAAGTACAGTTTGATGGACCTGTTACCTCGCTCGACCGTATGTCCGGCTTCCGCAGCTTCTAATTTGATCTTATTACTACGCTTTACAATAGATCTATTTGTTGGTTTCCTATTGTCATGTGCTAGTAACATCTGTAGTAGGCGGTCTTGCTCAGATCTAGTTTGAATATACTGCCCTACGAAGATAGTATTGTTGTACGTTTCTTCTATTTGCTTTAGTCCTCGTCCCCCTTTCTTTCGTGGCACGTATAATCTGTCGATGTCTGCTTTGGGATGAGGATATTATGTGTTGTCATTAGTTTTCTTGTTTTGCGATCCATTTGTCTTATGTCATCCAATGTCCAATTGATTATACCAAAGCTGTACTGCATGATTGGTATGGCAAGAGCTCCAATTGCTGTTATCTTGTTTCTAGACGTGAGTTGAGTTTGCAGAATTTTACGTACTCTCGTTATATACTCATGTCTAATATCAACTTTCAGTGAATCGTGGTGTGATGTGTGAGCCTTCTTTAATTCACAGGTACTTGTACACTCCGCCATGTTCTAGTGATTTGATCGTCTCTCCTTCATCAACTATTATATTATCAGAGTCATAATGCATTCCTCTCCTGAATGTGACTACAGCGCACTTATCGAGACCGAAGCTCATCTGTATGTCGTCGCTAAATTTTTTTACAATATTGAGAGACGTTTCAGTTTGTTTTTGCTGGGAGATATGAGCTTTAGGTCATCCATATATAGCAAATGGGAGAGACAATCATTTGCTCCTTTAAGTTGGTAACCTAGGTTGGCCTCGTTGAGCAGCGTACTTAAAGGAACCATCGCAATGACAAACAGAAGAGGTGACAAGGTATCACCTTGATATATACCTCTTTTTATCTGTATGGGTCTAACTCTATTTCTTCCCCATTATTACTGACTAACAGGGTAGTACCCATAGCGAAATCAATCGCTTACATAGATCAATGATCTTCTCAGATGTTCCTATAAGTTTCAGAGATTTCAGGAGCCAGCTGTGCGGGACGCTGTCGAATGCCAATCCATCCAATGCTAAGATTTTTTTTGTTCTCTTTACAATCTTCTACAATGGCTTTCGAGAGGAGTAGCTGATCCTTGCAACCAAGAGAGCCCTTGCCACAGCCTTTTTGTTCAGTTGGTATTATCTTATTATCATTTACATAATCAGATATTCTGCTGGCTACAACTTTAGTTAACAATTTGTACAAGGTGTTCAGACAGGTGATAGGCCTGTAATTTTTGGGGTCCTTACTATCTCCAGACTTTGAAGAAGTATGTTTTACCCTTTGGCAGCCAGTTGGGATATCTGTTCCGTTATCGAAGTAACTATTATATATCATTGTTATTGTTTCGTGTGTGCACACGAGATGTTTCAGCCAGAAATTGGGTATCTGGCCTATACCAGGGGCTTTCCAATTTTGGGCCTGCTGCAGTGCTGATCTGACTTCCACGACACTGATATTTTGCCAGCTCATAGTTGTGGCTCTATCCCTTTCTACCTTTTTCAGCCACTTTGCGTTCTCGTTGTGGTTAACACTTTTCTCAAAATACTTTTCCAATACGTTTCAGTTGTAGAGATGGCTGGAGCTTCAATGGGTTCCCTTTTTCCTTCTCGCAGCTCCCTATAAAATGCTTTGGGATTGACATTAAAGAGACTATTTTGCTTGTGCTGCTCTTGTCGATTCTTACCTTCTGAGTCTTTGA